ACTAAAATATGTGAATAGTAATTCTGTAACTTAAACCTAGTTCTTAAGAATTACACTCTAGAAATTAAAGAATTCTCTCAAATTTGACAGGGACATTCCCAGCTTATGAAGGAAATTCATCAACAAAGAAACCAACAGACAGGGTAAGAGTCTTGCTTAACTTTCAAAATAAGATGAAGGTAAAATTAAAAGGTGAAATTTTATTTATTTATTTAACATTTTTTAATTTTTGACAGGTGCTAAAAGTATAGAAATGCACTCTCCAATACCCATTACGTATGTAGTTCAGTAGTTAGCACACAACTTTTGTCTGTCTTACTCACAAAAGTTTTTTTAGCCATTTCAATTGTAAGAAAGAAAGTTGATTTTTAAAGAGCATTTACTCAATTCTTCAATGTGGGTGGTGTTGGAATTTTTTATTAATTAATTTATATATGTAACATCACAAATCTTAAGTTATAACTCTTATACACCTGTGGAACTACCACTAAATCAAATACAGAACATTTCCATCATTCCACAATATTCCTTTGCCTTTCCTAGCCAATAGCCACCATCATCAGAGTAACTCTATTCAATTTTATCACATCGATACGTCTTGCCTGTCTTGAACTCGTATAAATGAATAAATAATGAATAGTAATATGAATAGTATAATGAAATAGTAATAAATGAAATAGTATAAATGTAAGTAGTAGATATAGTAGTGCTCTATTTTATATTGGCTTCTTTCACTCAACATTGTATTTTGAGATTTATCGATTTGCATATTTTTTATAGTTCTTTTGGGGGGTTCAACGGGTCCTCTTGCTCTGTGCCCAGCCTAGAACTACAGTGGTAATCATCAATGCTCCTGCAGCCTTCAAACTCTGGCTCAGTGATCCCTGCCTTCAGCCCTCCTAATAGTGTGATTATATGTGTGTTTCACCATGCCTGGCTAATTTCATTTTTATTTAATAGTAGAACAGGTCTTCTCCTGCTCAGGCTGCGTCTACTCCTGGCTCAAGTGATCCTCCTGCCTCACTTCCCAAACTGATGGATTACAGGCATGAAACCACCACCCTGGCTGAAATAATTCCATCTTTGTTTCGAGTAGACCATCTTTTCTCTTTTGTCTTTAACACAAATTATGTTACTGAAAGTCTTGTCAATTCCAACATGCGGATCATCATCTTGGTCGCTTTTTTGTGGGTTTTTTTTTGGATGTTTTCTTGGAGTATATTTTTTAAATCTCTTATGATCCATAATTGTACCTATTTATAGAGTACATGTGATACTTCGATACTTGCAATCAATTGTTAATACGCAACAGGATAATTAGGATAATCCGTCACCTTCGATCACATGTATTGTTTCTTATGTTAGGTTCCAAAAATCCTTTCTAGCTATTTGAAGTATACAATATATTGTTGTTAACTATACACGCTATTATGCATCAAACACTAAAACTTATTCTTATTTTGGGTCTATCATTATTGACTGTTTTATGACTTGAATATCAACACTTTCCTGTTCATCTGTCTATTATTTTTTTTGTAGTAAACATTGTGGATGATACAGTGCGAGAGCTCGGATGGTATTGCTCGTCTTACAGAGAAATTTGAGTTTGTTCGAAGAAGTTAAATTACTCGTAGAGACCTTAATTCTGTTGAGACTTTTGTAGGTGATGTTACGGTGAGTGTATTTACTTGCATTCCCTTAATCTAAGCTAGTTCTAGTACCTGTGGAAAACGTAAAAATACTTACAAACTATGTCTGGGATGTTCACGTCAGGTCTCTTTACTTGTGTGTGATCTGAGATACTGAGCATTTCATAGCACATCAGACCCTCTGAAATCTCTGTCCAACATTTAGCCACCCAGAACGTTGTTTTCTACTAGGCCTTTGAGATTATGGCCTATTGTATGCCAGTTAGAGTCAAAGAAGAGCCTCCTCACACATTTTTGGGTACTGTTTTGGCTGGCTCCTTTCTCTTTAGCTCCTTGTTCCCCATCGTACCTCAGCAGCCCAAACTCCTGATCTCTTTTTTTGTGCCAGAGAGATATTGCTTTCTACTTGAATTCTATCATCTTTCAGTGTGATTTTGAAAACAAAGACAGGATCGTGCTTTGGTCATCCCCAGATGTCTCTAACTATAAGCATTTTTTTTATTCATTGCTTAAAAACGTTTTTTTTAATTGTCATTTTATTTTTTTGTTATGAGGGAAGATAATTTATATATCAGTCTAGCGTTATTTGTGACTAAACTAGAACCCACCTGATTATATTCTTAAAATTTGCCAATATATTAGTAAATCATTAGATTGGTAATATTTAAAGTACAAGATTAAAGTTATAATATAGAATTAACTGAATCACAGGGTTGTCTAAAAAATTTTGATTTTCCTAACATACCACAAAATCACTAGGCTCTTGCCCACTGATGAAAAGAATCGCCCATTCCGTAAACAGATACAAGTGTAAGCAGTGTTAATATGAGATGCTTTATTATTGTCTATCCAGTTCTGTAGTTGGTTTAGCAGTGAGTTTATGAACATTTGGTGTTAGTTGTCCTCCTAAAGCATTACTCTTGGTCTGAGAATATACCCAAATATCAAGCTCTCTTAAACTCTCTACATATATATCACCGTAGATTGTATCCAAATTAGCTTAAACCTTTTTATCTTTGCTGACAATCAACAGATAACTGTAATACTTACTACCTTATAGCAAAAATTTAACACTGAGATGGCGGTCCTGTTATTGCTACAGTTTTTAATGTTATATATTATATTAGTAGACTTAAGAGCATTTAAGCTGTTTATATCAGTAAATTGTTTTTTTTTGTTATTCCTCTCCCAGAATACTGTCAGAATAATTTTTCACATATTTTGTCAGTTGCACCCTAGTCAGGCAATCGATAATATAAAATTGACTCTCCTGAAAAATTCAAGACCTTTACTTTTTTTCCTCACTTTATTTTTCTTACTCCACCCTCAA